TCGCACAATACATCATGAAAGTCATTAATACGGAAAGGAATAATGCCAGGTGAAGGTACCAAATCACAACCATTCTACGTGACCGGGACTAATCTCCCAATTAGTGCTTTGCAATCCACCCATGTTGTGACGTCAGACCCCGGACTCTTAATCACTGAAGCCTTAACGCCTGAATCCCAGGCGTCACAATGCTAAATATCTAAGCCTGCGTCCCAGATTTCTAAATCCGGAATCCTTGAACTTATGAAGCCCTCAAGACTTAAACTCTCAACCCCACACCCCTTCATCCGTCCACTAGGCGGAAGGGAAACAATTCCCAAACCAGAGCACTGAGCGGAGCACCCAGAGAAGGCATGCGCTGTAGTACTTGGAGCCCGGAGCCAAGTAGCCATACCTGGTTTGGGATTTAGGGTTTAGGGTTATAAGGGTTTAGGGTTATAGGGGTTTAGGGATTAGGGTTTAGAATTTAGGGGTTGGCGGGGGGGGTTGCATTGGTGTGTAAAGGGTTTAAGGTAATCTAACCCGAGTATAACCGGTACTAATGACCCAATGATCGCCATATTTGTGGGCTAAGCTGCTGAAAACATTCAGGCTTTATACGCAAAATCTGTTTGAATACATACTTAATTCGAGGGTCCAATTGGTCAGGTTTTGGCGTGGGGGCTATCTCTCCATGTCTAGCTTAAGGATCAGCCATCGTGGATTAAGTCTGAAAATGCCCAGTTATTTGTCGAGGGCCGTGTGTAGAAGAGGGTCCTTCTGGGGATCAGGCTTTACGTCTTCAGGAATGTCTGCCCATCCTATGTAATAAGAGCACTAACGGTAGAGAAACAGCAATGGCTTTGGCAAAGCAAAACAAATGTACAAGACCAGCAAAAGAAAGAACGTCCACATTGCTTCAGGAGCGTAGGGTCAATGAAAAACATCAACGGATTTAAACGTGCTTTCTACACCGTCACGGGTACATCGCCAGGGTCCACATGACGAACATCACAACGAAGTAGGTGAAGATGCGAAGCAGAGATGTCGTGGAGGCGAGGTCATGGGCCCTGGTCCCGCTGAGAATCAGAATCGCGGGAACATTTCCCACCGCCAGGCCCATGCCGACCCCCAGAATTCGATTGATGTTCGTGTCAAAAGATGAGCCAGACGTTTCCTGGAAAGAGGGTTTACTGGGTTGCTGTTAAGGAAATTAATTTGAGCTACTATATTGGAGAAGCCCTGCTATTTACTATATATGTATACACGCGTTATGGTAACTTAATCTAAGTTCCTTAACTGCAACCCAGTTGTCCGGGTCAGGCAGTGCTCTTTGAAAACTGCGGTCATGTAGGACACGCCCCTCAGGCTTCCCACACAAACACCCTAAACCCTAAGCCCTGAACCCTAATCCAATTGGCCTTTGGTTAGCTAGGAATGAAGGAATGGATCCTTATGGTAGTCCCTAAAATACCCATGATAATAGTCTCCATGGTCTTTGTCATTCGTCCATGCCCAGCTAAGCAAAGGCCAGCTTAGGCCAAGTTTCTGAGAAGATGAAAGACGTAGCCACCACGCAGCCCATGCTATACTCACCTGGGTAGCTGTTGAGAAACTTCAATTAAGTTACCATAATGGGTACATATGATAAGCTAGGTTTCCACTATAGAGAATCTTAGTGAAGTTCCCTAACAGCAACCCAGTCACGTGAATACACGGACCAAAGCAGTGCCAGAGTCCAGGATACCGTGTTTCGCAGGGCGAACCAGTGGCGGTTTGTCCAATCCTGCTTCTGTGCTGCCTGCACTGGTACCTCAACGTCGCCTCCGGGACTCTTAGAATTTTAGGGTTTAGGGTTTGGGTTAAGGGTTTAAGGTATAGGTTTAGATTAGGGCTTAAAGGACCTAAGCTACCGTGGAACCTTACAAAGGGCCATATAAAGTCAAGTGCCCTTTGAAACTGTGGCATGTTAGATGGACTGCTACGGTTCAACCCATGACAGTTTGATAATGCGGGCGTGGGCGATTCCTGGATGCTAGGTGCTTACATTCCGCAAAATATCAAGCTCTTTCTTGCAAGAACCTTCAAACGCCGTCAAACCCCCAAGGTTTTGAAGAAGATTCCCTGAAAAGTCTCAACAATTCGGCAAAAAAATCGCCGGCAATCACTCTCAACTTGCGTGATCAGCAACACTCCTTGATTCCTGGTAGCATTGCAAATAGAAATCTAGCACAACCTTGGACTGGGTTGTTGTCAGGGAACTTAATTCAACTTACTATATGCAGGAAACCCTATATACCATATACATATAATGGTAACTTGATGTAAGTTCCTTACCAACAACCCAGTAGACATGCCTTATCCTGCTATGAATGATACGGGGGGGCTCCACAGGGTAATATTTGGGTTATATATGGGTAATGGAAAAGAAAAATATAATGGGGTTATGTAGAGTTTGTACAGCGGCTATGTCGATAGTGCAAGATTTCCGAACATTCCTGAAGCGACAAACCATTTTTCATCGATGGACACCCCTTATTGAACAAACCACTGTTCTCACAGCACAAATCCGATGTTGAGGATCCCTAGCAACTCCACAACTCTGCTATATGTAGCCATGATTGAATCCACAAACTCTACAAACACAAACCCTAAACCCTAAAACCCTAGACACGCCGTCAACGTGTGTGAACCTTCATACCGAATCTGGCAGAGGTGCAGGATTCAAATTCTGAAGGCCACGAGCGCAGCCTAGGTTTGGGGGGTTGAGAGTTTGGGACATCCTGGGTTTAGGGCTTTAGAGTTTGGCTTGTCTATGGTTTAGGGTTTAGGGTTGTGTAGTTCAAGGTGTGAGGATGTGAGCGTTCCGCCGAACGCCCAAACCCAAACCCCCTAAACCCCCCAAAACCCTTGAAGCCCTGAGAGCCTAAAGGCTAATAAACCCTATACATCACTACACATCCCCGTATTTTCCTAAAAAAAAAACATGTGCGCCCCTGTGTCCGGTATGCTCCGCATGTCTCTTGTTTCTAGGGGCCCTATATGATAGTCCCAGCTTCCATTTTGTTTTCATGTCCTGTTCCATTTGATGCTCCATTCTTTGCATTGATTTTGAGAAACCGGTAGTACACAGCTCTGAACCCCTCAAGCACAGTGGCTGATCGAGGAAAGCCATCTCAGAGGAAAGTGCATTCTCAGGTTTCGCCAGCTTCTCGAGTGCTTTGCAGAGCACATCCTTGGCTCTTCTTGCAAACTGAAGGTGTCCAACTGAAGGAATACGCCCAAGTTCGGGCTAAGAAACAAAAATGTCTTATGCCAGAATACGTCACACTTGACCTCTGCTAGACTCCAGCAAATGAACAGATCGTTTAAGATCTCCGAAATCCGAATCCTTCTGCTGCAGCAGCCTGCTGCGCGAAAAAGGTCGTACAACTCTTGAGCCATAGATGAGAAGTGCTTTTTGGTGGATGAACCCAACAAGATTCTTATCTTGAATCCTCAATCCCAGACCTCTAAGCCCTGAATCCCCACACCTAAAACCTCAATCTTAAACCACTAGTGGTCCCCTATATAATCCCCACAGAACTCCCTTTAAGGAGCTTATTTCCACTAAACCACAAACCCTAACCCTAAACCCCCTCAAACCCTACAAGGGTCGTCGGCTTTCTTCGCAAGGCGCCGAAGCTCAGAGCAAGTGTTCTCGGTCAGGTCTGCCTTTCTCAACGCCACTTGGCTGAGGATTTAGGTTTCAGGGTGGCGCAGGGTCCAGGTTCTTGGGTTTAAGGTTTAGGGTTTAGGGCTTCGGGTTTGGGGCAAGTTTTTTCAGACTTTGTCCAGAGGAATGGTGCACCCTCCTGTCATTCCAAGACCCTGTCACCCTGATTATTTCTGATATTACTATCATTACTGTTAGTACTCTTACTATTCTTATGATGCTTATTTCACTGCTATTACTGTACGATCTTTACTGTCATTTGATTCCCTACCCGGAACGAGATCGGCCTTCTCCCTGCAGTCGCGGGCCACAGAGGCAAGACCTTCGCTGCAAGCCAGCACGAAGTCCTGCAAACCGGGATATGTGTGGATTACAAGTGGATTCTACGGGGGCCAGTTTTAAGAAACTCCCATTTGGGTCAAACGCTTGAGGTAAGCTTAGGATCAAGGGTTTGGCGTTACGGATGAAGGCTTGAGATCTATGATAGTTTTCCAAAATAGGAGGACCCACTATAGACCCCAATATACTATAGTCCTTATTATGGGAACCCCCAAAGAGGTACCCCTAATTTTGGTAAATCCCCATATGATTTCAGGGTTTAGGGCTTAAAGGGTCTGGCGCTGTGGAGACGTCCTCAGAAGGGCGGTTTTGAGCTTCACGATGGGATGGTACAATGTAATGACCATGGGCACCTAATGTGGACTTCAATTTGGGATCCTCATCTATATGCTTTTCAAACAAAATAATTACGATACCCGCCAGAAACAAGTAAACCAACAGCCCTTCATCTCCTAGAGCTGCTAGTTTCAAGCAGTGGCCAGCCGTTAAATGTTGGGTACATCATGCCATAACCATTTCATGGCCGTCTGGCATAGTTGGGTAACATTTCCAAAGGTATCCGCTAAATGTGTGAAACATGTGGATGTTTGGGTGTTCAAGTGGTTAACAGACGTTCGACACTGAAGCAAAGAAATGTGAGCAAGAACTCGAAGTCCCCTTCCCGAAATGTCATCCAGAGAACCCGAGTGCACTTCCCAAATTTTGAAATCAGCCTCTGCAAGCTCCCTGCGAAACCAACAGGGATACTGTATTAATAATATTCATATGAATAATTTTAAAATTTGGAATATGTTAATATAATTACTATTATTATCATTACTAGTAATACTGCAGGCTAGCTCCGAAGCATGGGATCCTTTTGAGCTGCCTCAGCGACATCGCTTGGACCCTCACCTCGCAAAAATCCGACCAAAGCCTTTGAATTCCCTCTCACCCTGAACGCTTAAGTCTCCAATCCAAAACTCCCTAAACCCCTAAACCCCAAAAATCGTGAAATCATAGATCGCCATGCCCTTTGACCAAAAGCCCTGAACCCAGAGTATGTCCTCCAGCAGCAGCTGTTCGCCTTTCCCTGCAGACTGACCCAGGTACCTCAATTGTTAGGGTCTAGGGTTCAACGACTCTGGGCTTGGAAGTGTCGAACTTCGGGGTTTAGGGAACTCATGCTCAAAACCCTAAACCCTACATAACGTAGTACGTAGTCCACATTTTCTTTTCCGTTCCCTTAAAAACCCTACATCTACTCTAAGGGGGTGAGGGGGGTGGGGGTTCGTTATTACATGGAGGAGATTCAAGTTCGAACTCTAGACCCTAAATCCTAAACCTTCTGAGCCTTTTGAGGATTAACGAAGATTCAGGTACCGCATCAGACCACTCTGGATCCGGAGCAGTTGGCGCAGTCGACGCAAGAATGCTGCAACCTGCGACTTGCTCTGGCAGGACGTAAGCTATACTCTAAACTCCTAGTATCCCCCTTAATACCCCGTATAACTCCCCTAAATAATCCCCTATATAACCCACTAGGAGTTTAGACTATAGCCCATGTAGGATGAGAAAAATTAGCCAAAGGCTGTTACAAAGTTGTCTTGATGTTGCAGCAGTAGTCATTGCTGGTGTTGTAAAGGGTGGCGAAAAGTACCAGCGGTAGCAAGACTACATGAGTTACCAGCATTAGCAGTAGTCCTAATACGTTTCGTCATGTCACTTCAGTCAGGACAACGTGAGGAAAGGCAGGACACGGACTTCTGCTCCTTTGCAATTAAGTGAGCCATAGTCTAAACTCCTAGCATCCCCCTTAATAAGCCCAATAGTAATCCCTAAAAGATGCCCTTTCTAACCCCCTTCAAGGAGCTTAGATGAAGGCTCAGGTAGAGGCTAAGGAAAAACCAGGCCAGGAGTAGCTTGAGATACTTGATTCACGAGGCCTTCAAGGATAGCCGCCAGCTGGCTGCAAGCGTTCCATTTGGTGCGTGGTCAAAATTATGGCTTCTTTTGGGCCCCCGTTATGGTCTGGCCCCTCATACTCAGGACACCCAAGGACAGGACAATTCTGACAACCCCCTGTTTGCAAACTTGTGAATACAAATGTCTATACTGGGCACTTACGGCGGTGTGTAGAACTTGCTGCCATGAAACGGCTGAGCAGAGGGCTCTCGCATGCTGTCGCAATACGGGCCTTTCTTAAGAGCTCGTCTTTGGCTGTCCTTTACTCTTCGTATGGCCCTGCTCGAAACGGCCCCTTTCTCTGAGACCAGGGGGGTTCAATTGGACTTGGGTCCCCCTGTAACCCCAATATTCCATAATCCTTGCTGTAGAGGTTAGGGCTTAGGGACTCCCCAAACGTTGCCTCGGAGTTTCAGGAAATCACCCAACCTCGAAATTTCAGGAAATCACCAAATTTCCTTGCTCGTGACATAAGATCCTGCGCCTTCTGCAGGTTCTTGTGCTGCTCCCGCGTGTGGCCCCAGAACCAGGATTCCCAGGACGCCTGTTCGTGGCTTCCCCTACAAACACCCCAAGCTTCCCTTCGAATAGGGTTTTTTTCGGGGGTAGTACCAGAGCTTGGTAGGGTATGATGTGAGGGATCGGATCAGGTTCCTTTCAGCATCCTACAAGATAAGCGAATTAGCAAGAGGAATCTCCCCCACATGTTTTGAGGAAGCCCGGCATCACCCTCGCAACAACCAAAAAAAAACGCTCATACTACCACTACTGTAACGCTCAGACACAATATCATTACTACTACTATTATTTTACTATGACTATGACTATTACTATTACTCTTGCTCTTACTCTTACTCCCGCTTTTGCAAGTTCTGTTACTATTTCTATTACTATTACTATTATGGCTATTCGTGCTATTACTAGTATTATGACTGCTATTACTAGAATCCTTCAGAGCCCACCCTAGTGCCTGCTGCAGCAGGGCTTCTGCTGTCGTCCTGCGTTTTCCTCGGTTCATCTGGGTTTGGGTTTTACAGTTTCGGGGTTGGTGATTTAGGTTTTTGTTTGTGAGGCTCCAAGAACAGTTTGGGGTTTAGGGTTTGGGCTCGGGGTTTGGGGTTTCGTCGAGTGTGTAGTTTGAGGTTTATGGCAATGTCTAGGAGCTAGGGAGTGTATGGTTTGCACCATTTTAAGCAAAACAAAAAACATGTTACTTTTCGTGAGGGTTGAGAAAACGGCTACTTTGAGTACTGTGAGGGCTGTCGTGTTCGCAAAATTGACATGATCACCTAAAATTAATTCCGAACGATTATCTTTGTTCCTGCAAACAAGCAGATGTTTCACGGGCTTCACGATTTGCGCGACGGGGATTTGGGGTCTTGGGTCTAGGGCTTCCGCAGTCCCAAACATGTAAACTGCTCTTGAAGGGATGGCCCAGTTTCCCAGCTGCCGGATGTAGAAGTTGGAGCTATCCGCATGGAAAGGAAACTTCCAAGCCTCCTGAGACTGCTCGTGTTCTTAGGTTCAAAATAGAATGAAACCGTCCCAAAACCCAGACCCTGAACTCGAGGCTCCTACCCGTAACATAAGACCCTCACTTCCACCCCAAACACCCAAAACCTTGGAACCCAAAACCCTAAACCCTGATCCGTACACCCTATATCCCCCCATATATATCCTCATATAACACCAATGAAACTGCCCCTTCCAGCCTCCTGGAGAATTGTCATGAGGTACTCCAAGCAACCCGCTGTATCTTCCGAGAGCTGGGCGAGCTCCGTTGCCGCGGACCACATGCAGCTGTGCCTGGACATAGTTTAGGGCCTTTGAAAAGTATTATATACAAATATATATATATATCCATACATATTTTTATCTATTTATCAGTTGATTTAATAGCTTAGGCCCCTTTAAAAGGTATATATGAGGCCTTTTAATAGTTCAGGCCCCCTTACAAGGTATATATGAGGTCTTTCAATAGTTCAGGTCCCTTGAAAAAGTATGTATAAGGTTTCGCTTAGGCCCCGTTAAATTGGTTGTATAAGTTCTCTTTTACGGCTTTTTGTCGGATCTACATAAAATCGTTGTAGGATTTATATAAGGATATATGGGGATGTAGAGTTTGGTGCTTCCAAAACATGTGGGGCCCACTTGGAGGGTTCCTGCATGAAGGATCTTGCTATGCGGGGGCGCCCACGAAGGGGATCCCTGTTTCGGGGAAACACCAAATTAGGCCCTTGGGATGGTATAGAGGGATGAGGGCGACGGACCTTGGCTTCTAAGGGTTCAGTCTGCACGCACGTTATCAGGTTTTTGAATGTAAATTCTTCACTCACGATACTGGCTTATGAGCCCCCTTTCCAGAGGTCCCTTATCAAAATGTCACTTACGCAGCCTTTTGAGAGGTACACACACAACACACACCGCATAAGGCGTGTAAAGGAAATATGTGGGAAGCATACACAAGAGCCTACAATCCTATTGATAAATTTGAACATGCTTGTAGCATTCTGAGGTAGATGGCTTTACACTTGAGGGTATTACCCACACAATAGCGCAGGCGAAAGAACTCTAATGACGGTGCTCCAAAGAATGCCTACACCACTCCTTCATAAAAAGACAGAAGTATCATATGAAAGAAGTGAAGTTCTTTGTTTCCTTGCAAACCTTCAATCCTGTACTGAAACTTTTTTGGATTTCGCCAACTACCTCACAAATTACGCATCTGCGGGATGCAGCCATTTCAAAAAGGTTTTTGGGTTTAGGGTGAGTAGGGTTTATGGCTTCCGCTTGCTTTGAGAATTGCGTGAAAGAGGTTGATAGATGGCAATGTATCCATGCATTCACACGTCACGGTCTTCGCTCAACCCGCTCGAACAAAATGAGACCCTAGACCTCCGACACCCCCAACTCCTGAACCGTAGACCCTAAGCCCTACAACCCAAAACCCT